GAGCGAGGCGTGAGGAGTGAGTCACCACTCCTGCGCTTCAGTTTCCTGGCCGCAGAACCTTTGCCATGTTGGATTTTGCGCAGAGGAGGATCTTCCCCCATTGAGAGCGGTGAAGCAGGTATATGTAGCTGGAGTGAGGGATAACAAAAGGAGAGGGGAGGCGTCGACTTGGTTGGGCAGCTGATTATTTGTTGTACACCGCAAAGTGACTTGGGCGCGTTCAGGTGCATTCCATGGGTGCCAGGCTGCGCCATGTGTGGATGACGTTAAAAGTGGCACCGGTGGGCGTGTGTCTTGCCCCGTTCCAGACGAGGCTACTTCCCACGGCTGCAATGTTTCGAGGCGCTAGGGGGGGACAGGGGCACCGAGGGGCCTATTGACAAGCGGGCTACGGGCGAGCCACGGCATCCGGTGCATGTGCCGCTAGCCCTATGACCCCTCCAAGACCCTCTAATCGATCGCCTAGGCTGCATCCAGCAACTGTCTGAAGGGTGACTGACAGTGGTGACTGGGAGGACCAAAGTTCCTCTGCCTCGTGCAGACGGCCAGGATGGTCAGCCTCACTAGCCTCACCCGCCGCTCCGGCATAGCCTCTCGATCCAGTCTCCATCCTATTCCATCATCAGCGGAAAGAATTTGCATTTTGCGCGTGAAATAATGATTCTTCCATTCTTTCACGGGTAACTATCCACTCTTATAATGGCCTGTCAAGGACAACCTCAACCCCAACCCTCTGGTACTCCCCTAGCTGGCGGGGCCCCCTCCCGACCAACATAGCATCCGAGCATAGTGCTCCACATGAACTTGTGCTCCTTTAGCTCGTGGAGCGTTTTGTATGCGTCTGCATTGGCAAAAGCAATACCCATGTCTGGATCTCGATACCGAGCAGTCAACACTGTGATGGGACACACCTCGTGACTGTGCCTCGCGGACTTGGTGGGTTTGGCGGGTTTGGCGGGTTTGGCGGGTTTGGCAGGTTTGCAATGGTTGTAGAATAGGGAGTATTCCTGCCGGGACTCGGTAGAAAGCTCGTTGAAATTTTCCAGAATGACCAGATTCCGCGTCGAGTCTTCCACGACCGGTGGAGGCTCCGATGTTGTCGCTAGCTCGATGGTACCGGCCAGCTGCGTCACCTCTGCTTGTACGATTGCTCCCGGCTTCTCTGTCTGCTCTGCGTTCTCGATGGCTGCAGAGGGCTGCGTCTGCTCCGATGGTACGATAGCTTCCGGCAAATGTGTCTGCTCTGCGGATACTTCAGGCTTGACGGTGGCATTTTCCGAAATCTTACTAGAAGAGTTTTGAATGGGCGTAGGCTGGACAACAGAGTCCGGGATATTTTCTGGCAATGTGCTAGACCTTTGCTGTATTTCTGGTCGTTTTTCGGGATCTCGCTGTACGTTTGAATCTTGAGAAACCGGACTGACTCGCCTGTTCGTTTGCATATTAGTGTATTCGTGTATCCCTTTCAACAATGAGTCCTTTTGCTCCTGTGGAGAAGTAAGCGCGATTTCCGGTTGTGTATTCTCCAAGACAGGTGCAACGGTCGCTGTCGTTGTGGTCGTTATGATTGTGGTTGTGGCAGTCGTTTCCTGGGTCAGCTCCTTCGGCTGATCCGATATAGAGAGTGATGCCTGCGGCGTTCCCACAGTACTTGTTTGAGCTGTTGCGGCTGCTCCAGAATCTGCATTCGTTTCTGCGGCCAAATGCTCAAGGTACGCTTTTGACTTTCTCCCACGCTTCTTCATCTCTGGCGGGCTTACCCAATCTGTCACATCCCTTGAACCGATTTTGCTCAATTTTGGCCCGACCCATTTGGCCTTTGCACTCAACCAGGTGATAACTGGACCTTCCAGTTTCCTGTCCTTGAGAGCTGCCAGTTTTGCTGCTAGTTCTTCTTGCCTCTTCTTCTCCATGGCCTGCCACCGATTCAGGCTCTTAGCATTTTGCCGCTCTACCCTTGCAGCTTCAGCCAATCGATCAGCCTGCGTGAGTTCTTTTGGCGCATCCCTTGCTCTTTCTCTTTCCCGTTGCTCTTTCAGCGCCTTCAGCTTTCTGCTTTGCGCTTCGCTCTCTTTCAGTCGGGCAATGGTTTCTGCTCGGTGGGCGATCGTCTGTTTGCGTAAGGAACTTCGACCTGAATCGCGATCATGGACCCATGTAACTCGCTCTTTCTTCTTCTTCGATGGCTTCGCGGCCACGGAAGCTACGGCCGGCCTCGTAAGGTCAGTTTTGAGTTTCTTCCTGATGCCCGCAACGCTTGTAAGGGCAAGATCTGCCTTCCGTTTCTTTGCTCGATCTATTTTGGCCTGCTTTTGTAATTCCTTCTCTCCTTCGAGGTCATCGGTGGCAGCATTAGGACCTTGATCGTCATCGTCGCTGGAGGACATGTCCGCATCCTCGTCGTCGCCGCCGCTTCTGAATTCTTCATCTTCTTCTTCGTTGTCCGCGAACAGCAAAGTGACCTCGTCTTGCTCGTCCACATTCCCTACGTCTTCCAGTATCATGTCCCTGTCATAGCGATTGCCGGCAGTTTTGCGTCGCTCCCTGCCGGCGACGAGAGTCTCCACGAGTTCTTCCTCGGATTCATCTTCGCTTGACTCGGTGAGGGAGAGCTGTGGCGTAGCGTCCATGGGCTCATTTGTCATGATGGAGAGGCACAGGAGGAAAGGAATCTATTGAGGTCGCATAGGCTGACGATTCGCAAAATAAAGCCTTCTGCTTTAACTATACAACAAGGAGCAACAAGGTGTGAACTGGAGATGTTCTGGAGGCTCGAAGTGACAACTTGAGGAAGGTGCGGCGAGGCGAAGTAACCAGGCCGCTTTACGCGTCGGGTCCGGGAGACGCGTTAAAATAGCGAGGAGTCAGGCGATGAGCTCTCAACTTCGACGGCCACTTTTTCTGCAGCAAACACTCCTACCAAGTGAACTGATTTACTGGCATCTTAAATCAACATGCCTAGTCTGCGCAAAAGAGAGTCAGTCACTACTTCAGATACCTACTTAAGCAGCCCAGAAAGGAGAAAACGCAAACGAGGTGCAGTCACTTTGAACGGATCTGACGGTGCACTGAGTCCAAGAAGCAGAAAGCGTGCAAAACCAATCGATGTCCACGCAAGTGTATCACCGAGAACTCCTCGAACCAAGAACAAGAAAGTCACTCTAAGCGTGGAGAAGGAAGTGGCTACGGAAGCCAGCACGGAGACGAACGTCGCATTTGCGCTCAAGGAGAAGGCCGAGGCCACGATCGAACATACCGAAACGCCCTCCAGGGGAGGACGCCAACGAAAGGCCAGATTGAAGACTGCGAAAAAGGAAGAGTCTGACTCGGAAGAATACGAGCTCGAAGAGGAAAAAGTAGACCAGGAAGATCCCGTCAAGCCCAAGCGGAAACGCAAAACGAAAGAAGAAAAGGAAGCTGAAGCAATGCCGTTCGCTGTCCGAAGTGTTGGATTGAAGATGTACGTGGGCGCTCATACGAGCATAGCGAAGGGAGTGGAAAATGCAGTCACGAACAGTGTGCAGATTGGAGGCAACGCATTCGCCTGTTTCCTCAAGTCACAGCGGAAATGGGAGAATCCAGCATTGAAAAATGAGAACAGAGACGCTTTCAAAAAGGCGTTGATAGACTACAAATATGATGGAATGTCACATGTCGTCCCTCATGGGTCTTATCTCGTCAACCTGGCGACCGAGGATGAGGATAAGGCAAAGCAATCTTATGAAGCGTTTGTGGACGATCTCCATCGCTGCGAAGCCCTCGGAATTCGATATTACAACTTTCACCCTGGAGGAGCTGGACAAAGTCCTTTTGCCGAGGCGGTCAGTCGGCTTGCCAACAACCTCAATCGGGCATTAACAGAAACCAAAACTGTTGTTCCTCTGTTGGAGAACATGGCGGGAGCCGGCACACTGATCGGAGGACGGTTTTCAGATCTCCGAGATGTGATCTCTCAGATTAAACCCGAATATCAGTCTCGGATTGGCGTTTGCATCGACACTTGCCATGCGTTTGCGGCGGGATACGACCTTCGCAGTCCGCAAGAGTTTAAGAAGACAATGGACGAGTTCGACCATATTGTGGGCTTCAAGTATCTCAAGGCCCTACACCTGAACGACTCTAAGATGCCATTGAACAGTCACAGGGACCTTCATCAGAACATCGGCTTGGGATTTCTCGGACTACGTACGTTCCACAACGTCATGAACGAACCTCGCTTCCAGAACATGCCGTTGATTCTCGAGACACCTTGCGAAAGGCCCGACCCAACGGACCCAAAGGGCAAGAAAATGATCGAAGACAAGAGTATCTGGGCGACAGAAATCAAACTGCTCGAAAGCCTGATTGGGATGGATCCCGAAAGTGAAGAGTTTAAACGATTGGAGACCGAATTGAGTGAAAAAGGCAAGAAAGAGAGGGACCAAATGCAGGCGCAATATGAGAGGTTGCAGGAAAAGAAGGTGGAGCAAGAGAGGAAGAAACTAGCTAAGAAAAAACAACGCGAGAAGGGCCAGAAGAGCTTGACGGATATGTTTGCGGGGAAGCAGACCGCTAATGGAGCGAAGAGCAAGAAGCAGAAGAGGCAAAAAAGGCGGAAAGAGGACGACAGTCAGGGAGGCGAGTCAAGTGAACTAAGTGAATTGAGTGACCTGAGCGACTCGAGCGATGTGGACACCCGCATCAGAGCGTGAGAGATAGACGTGTTCTCTCCAAAGCGCACGGGCGGTTGAAGGGGAGAAACTCTTGCCACGGAGCTCTGATTTGGGAAGTGGGAATATATAAACAGATGCTACTAAGCTCGAGAGATACCCCATTGCGTCGTGGTAACCGCCGGTGCAAAAATGACAGAAACACTGCGCCTGGTCGTCCTAGATGCTCTATATACCTTGAACTCAGTCATGCGCCGATATAATCATTCGTCTCATCCTGTCCAAAGTGGTCAATATATCCCTTTGAATTCAATCTCTGGGATCAGTACGACATATCAACAATCAGACGACTCAACTCGCCCAGTCCTCCACGGGCTTCAAGTATACCTCCACGCCACCCTTCGGACGCGCGGTAACGCCGCCCTTGATCTCAATCTCCTTGTCCGGATCGACCATCTCGAACTCCCAGCTGCCTACGAACGCGGCAAGCAGGCATGCAAACTCAGCCAGGGCGAATTTGGCGCCGATGCAACTTCGCGGCCCGTGCAGAAACGTCAAGAATGCGTAATTGCTCACGGCGCCGCCGGCGTTCGCTTGGCCCGGCGCGGTCCACCGGTCGGGGTTGAACTCGGAGGCATCGTCACCCCAGAGCGAGGTGTTGTGGTTGATCGCCCAGGGCGCGAGAATGATCTTGGTGCCCTTGGGGACGAATTGGCCCAGAATGGAGGTGTTGCAGGCAGCATCGCGCAACGTGAGCGGTACAGGAGCCCATAGGCGGAGAACCTCTTGACAGACGGCGTGAAGATAGGGAATTGCGTCAATGACTTCGGAGGTGATATTTTTGGCGTCGAGATTGGAGATGTGTGCATGGATCTCTTGGCGCAGGCGTGCCTGGATATCTCGTCGTTGGCAGAGCTGGTAGATCGCCCAGGTGAACGCCGAAGCTGTGGTTTCGTGGCCGGCGGCAAGGAACGTCATCATGTTGTTGACCAGCTCTTCATCACTAAACCCGCCAGACTCGAGCGCCACAGAAATGATGTCCGGTTGCATGGGTTCTTTGTTGGCCATGCGCTGTTTCTTCTGTGCGATCAGTTGGCGGCACGTGTCTTTGGCAACGTCCGCTGCAGCTTGCACTTTGCTATTTCGGTCGATGGGGAGGTTGTTGAGAAGCCACGCGGGAAGGAAGAAGGACAGGAGGCCTAGGATTTGGGCGGTGCGGTCAGGTTGGAAGACTGCTCGATAGACACGGTTCAGTTCGTTCGTCGGGTCTTGTAGAGAGCTAAAGTCCTGGCCCATGCCGGCCAAGCCGATGATGTCTAATGTTGCACGACTTCCCCATTCGCTAACTTCAATCGAGGGCTGTGACTCGGTCGAAGATTTGAGTTGGTTTTGGATAGCATGTACCATCTCTCGAGATTTGGACCAGAAAATTGGGTAGAGCTCCTTGATGTGGCGAAAGTGAAATGCTGGCATGAGATTCTTCCTCTGAGCTTTGTGATCCTCGCCCTCTGCGAGAAGGACACCGACGCCCAAGACTCGTCCGATACCGGTGCGAAGTAACTCGGGCTTGATAAATTCGTAGCTCTTAGTGTTCAGAACTTCGGCAAGACCTTTGGGGCTGGTGACCAGGAGACGCTCCCGATTGTAGAGATGCAAGTAGCGGATCAAACCATCGTTGGGAATTTCCTGTGCCCAGCGTCGCTGAGGTACTCCGGAGGGTTCTTTGAGCATTGTGCGCCAGTGGCCGGAGATTTTGCTACCTCCTTTGACAGTTGGAAGATTGCGCAGAGGGCTGACGTAGTGAGGATAGATGAAAATAACGTAGACCGCCCAGACAAGCGCGTGGAGGAGAAAAATTACCGACGCTGTCCATGTGTAGGATTGTAAAATTGAATATTGAGGAGCAAACCTGACCAGGAGAACAGAGCCAGCCAGAGAGGCACCCACCCAAAAGCGGTAGGTACCTAGGAACTCTGGGACTTGAAATGGCATCTTGAATGCAATGAGAGGCTGGCCTCTCTATCCAGGCCGACAAGGTGAAAATTGATGTTGCGAAATGCCACTGTCCTCTGAGATGTAGGACGAGAGGCGAGGAGCGGATTTGAAAAGATAATGAAGTTGAGAAAGACAGGCAGACGCAAAATGCGAAAGAGACACTGGGCTGAATGGGGAAACGAATGATGAAGGATGGATGAAGAGGAATCGTCACCTCGTTGTCGGATTCGGAACAACGACATTCCATGTAAGCGAGGCGGGATGCTCTTGTCATTTGGGGCATAAAGCGGCATGTCTGACAGCGCGGTGCGTCGATTGGCCTCGTGTTTTTGAACTTTTATCTGTCAGACCAATCCATTTAGCCAACCGAGGCTTCTGCCCTCCGTTCCATCCCCAAAACAGGCGGTTGTCGCGAGCGAATCGGCAAATTTGGTATCTTTTCGTCCGCGCGATGCGGACCGTTCGAGTACGAAATACGGCACCCTCTTTGAGAACAGCCAGGTTTTGTCTTTCTTTTGGACACGTATCCTGAGGATGTAAGGCCGTCACGACGACTGACAGTTTCTCTGTGAAGCCAAGTCAGTTCCTAGCATGGATTCTCGAGTACCGAAACAGATGGGGAGCCTATTATCCCAGACGCGTGTAGGATAACATGAGCCCACCTTGACCGTCCAGTGAATCACCAGGACCTAGTTCAGATACTGCTATCTCGTGCGGTTGAAGGTTCTGCACATTTTGAGCGGCTCGGAATCTCTGGAATGATCGACCAGGTGTCCGCAAAACACCGGGTTTCATGAGGCTGTCGTACACAGTCGAGTTTGAAGCATCGTTGCTATTGTCCTTTTTACCTTCACTGTTGATTTCCTGGCTGCTCCCCTTCAAACATGACATTGTTTCAAGCTGGAGACACGTCGTGGGACAATACCTAAACCAGCTTGGGACGGTGTAATTCGATGTCAGCAGTGCGCAAGGCGCATACGTAGCTGGCTTTCGATCTCGTCACAGTAGGTGCAGAAGCCCAGCATCGAGAGTGAGGGACATGGTCTGGACTGTGCCCAACAATTCGTATATTCTCTTGCCACGCAGCTCTCTGAGAGGGGGATTGCGCCGATTATTGAAGAGATGTCGCTTTATTTTCGAGTCTCAAAAGATTGAGGAAATCGAAGTATCCACCAAGTAGGGAGCTAATGCGAGGACCATTGTTGCTCGGTTGTCGCGAGACTGATATCGATCCGCGCAGGGAATTGGGAAGGATGAGGTCTTCGTAAACAACCACGAATCTGGTTGCGAGGCATTGATGAGCGGGAATAAAGACGCCGATGATAGGCCTACAGAGAGGTATGCATGGAAGGGTGAAAAAAGGGCTACAACATAACGAGTAATACACTCCGCAAGCCCAATCGTCCAAGTGTGGATTCGACATTCCTACGCAAGGCTGGCCAGCCGGGGTTGTTTTGGGTCGTTAATTAGAACTGTTGGGCTAGCTTAATCGGGCTAGGCAGTGAAATATCTTGGCACTAAGGCAACCCTGGCACCTATTACCAGCACTACTCAGCTGTTTGAAGCCTCTGTTGTCACAGATAGAACTTCTCTTCCTTTCAACGAATAACAGCTTGCCTCTGCCAAGGTCGTTCGAACATCATGGAGCCCCGACCAGACCACCGTTTCGATCCTTCCAGTCCGGAGGCCGCGAACTTACCGCCTCTGCCTGACGGTGTCATGGACAGCGTTGACTGGAACGATCCCGAAAGCGTCCTCGGGACTCTGATGGGTGGTGGGTCTGGCACGAATCTACCCATTCCCAAGAAGGCTTCTCCCGAAGAAGTACGGTGGGAATCTACGAGTCGATCACATGCTATTTTCCAGTCTTTCGATACTTTGCACGATATCCTTCAACGCCACGAAGCAACCATTCAAAACCGGTGGACAAAGAGGACTAAGCAACAGAGGCTTAAGATACTCCTGAATGCATGGCCAGGCCTTCCCGCTTCCCATCGCCCTGACTTTGAAGCATTCCGAATAGAATCACCACAACAGCGACAGGCTGGCACACGCTACAGGGGCGCCTTCATGTGGCCCTACCTAAACCAGGAAGACCTCTCTAGACCAAGAACCCTCTTGTTGCTCCTTAATGCTAGGGGCAGAAATCACCCAAGTTGTTTCGCCGCTGCGGACATTGAAGCAATGCATCTTGGCCGCGTCACTCAGGGAATTGTCCCCATTTTTTTGAATACATACACTGTTATTTTGAATGGGATTTCAGATCGCAGAAAGGACCACGAGTACGGCAAGCTGGTATCATGGGAAGATGATCTCGATGCGTTCGACTGGATGCATACCAGGCGCCAGTTCATCCCTGGCGAAGCCCTGCTTATCCTTGAAGCTCAGGAACGCCTGATGACTTTTCTTGTCGACTGTTGCATGCAGATCCTACACGACATCCCCGTCGGCTTGCTTACCAGCGACTCTTATCCAATTCAGCCAGAACCACCATCGAAATCAGAGAACAATGTGACGGGGCATGCTTCACTGGCAGTCATGGCGGCAGAAGCGCCTTATCGCCTACCATCAAAACTAGACCTCTCGAGGGTTTCGTCACTCCTCTCCGCCATAACCATTGCCAAAGAGGATCATCTGTGGTCCTTGCGAGAAGACCCTGGTTATTTTCAACAATGCCTGCTCGACCGCAGCGAGCATCGTCTAGAAATGGTTGCCGATGCACAAGGGAAAAGGAACCCGATCCTTCATCCCCGTCACGAAGATATGTTTTGGAGTCGCGTCATTGTCAGTGCTGTCAGTGACTGTTACATCGAGCTTGAAATATTCGCCGCACTTTCGCGACAAGCGCAGCATCTGCGTGAGTTGCAGTTGAAGTACGAGAGCCAAATCACTCCCGAGGATGATCTTCCTGTGGAGTATCTTGATGCTATGCTCGTGTTTCGATATTTTCTTACTCAAGCCGCAAAAGAACCAATTGATTCCCTCAAGTCAGAGGTCGCAGGATCGCCGGCTTTTCGCACGTTGTTTTTTCGCCTTTCTCCAGACAATTCCAACTCGTCCACCGCCGAGATTCAGCTCAAAGGGGTCAAAATAGGACCTGTTGAGGAACAACTGTTGTGGCTTTTCAGGATCTTGTGGGAGGACGACCAGCAACTATTCCTCCTTCAGATGCCTCTGGTTGTTGACGAATTGCAGAGACTGTTGGATTCGGAGCCAAGGGCGAGAGAAATGGTAACAGGACGCATCAGTGATATTATCGGAGATCTAGCGATCATCTGTGAATGTTTACGGCAGTTAGACACCTATCTACCATGGGCTCTTACATTTGAGAATCAAATGGTCGGAAAGGAGAAGAACATTCAAAAGCGTTATCAGTTGACCTTGAACCCAACAAGTCGGATGCTTGCTGGTTTCAAGGAGCGCAACGAAAATGTGACGGCACAGTTGGGTAAGCCAGTTGGAAACAGGTTTGACTACCCAGTCTGGAGGCGTCGAAATAAGGAAAACATAGAGATCATGCGACGGTCCGAGGCCAACCTGGACGCCTTCTGGTCCTACGTCGACAAAAAGATGGGGGGGAGGGCAACCGATGTAACAAAGACGGCAGTAATGAACCTCCTGACCTCCCGTACCTTGCAGCGGACGCCCGAGTGGACTGATCCAAAGGCGTTGAACAAGCAATCACCAAAGAACGATATTGAGTCCATCACCAAACCTTTGTCGGAGGTTTACTTCGAGCTGGAATCACGCACCTCACAGACGTTATCTAGTACTGCGAGACGGGTACCAAAAGAAAAGATTAAGACCCGCGGAGTTCCCTCGACCAGCACAGCGGACCATCTCGCTGAGCCTCAAGCAAACCCATTCGATCCTCAACCTACCTTTGCCGTTGACAGTCGCGCTTTCAAGGTATTCCGAACTCTGTTCTTCGTGCCTTCCGTGTCCGCCACGCCTGGTGAAGTGGGTTGGAACGACTTTGTACACGCAATGACCTCCACAGGCTTCGCTGCAGAAAAACTCTACGGCTCAGTGTGGCACTTCACACCGACGAAGCTAGACGTTGAGCGCAGTATTCAATTCCATGAGCCTCATCCATCTGGGAAGATACCCTTTCGAGTTGCACGGAGACATGGGAGAAGACTGTACAGAGCGTACGGGTGGCATGGAAGTATGTTTGTATTGCAGGAAAAGACAACGGCAGTGCATACCCCAAACGCAACAACAGCGAACTGAGGTTTAAGGCTTCCTAGGGCGATTCCATCATTGGTTTCTGCACAGGATTGTGTAGACAATGGGTAGTCACCTAGCTACTCAATACGATACTCCCCCTCACGTTACCACAGCTATCCCTGTCACACAAGCCCTCTTCTCCCTGCTAGACGTTATAACGTCACTAACATCAAGCAGCCCCTTCAGAAGCTCCCGACTTTCTACCCCGGAGATGGCATCTGCCAAGATACTGCGCAGACGATCCAAGTCCTTCAATAAGATCACCGACGCTGTTGGTAAGAACTTGGGGGTGAGATCCCTAGAAACGTCTACGGGCAATCTATTGCATTCAACATGATCGGCAAACCTACAGCAGACCAAGTCTGACTCAGGGAGAGATCATCGATAGACGGGAAAAAAACATATTGTTGAGACCTTACTACTTCAACATGCCCAAACGCAGCTACTGAAGAGCCCTATCCATCGATACAGCTTTGCTCTCTGTGCTAGTAGTACATTCTAGTGCCACTTGAATGAGGCGTATTCTTGTAAAATCCCGGTAATGGGCGAATTGACGCCAAATACAAGGGTCAAGATGAAGACCACCACTGCAACAAGTAGCGTTACCCATTGCACTGATCTCTATCATCAAACCAGAATTGCTTCACCCGGCGAGGTTTGGACGCGTCGTAGAGCTCTTGGATCTTGGCTAGGCGATACCCGTAGAAGCGGTATTTCGACAACTCTAGCCTCTCGTGAAGTGTGATCTGCGCCTCTAAATCTACACGGAATTATTTTTCTCAATTTGGCGAATGCGCTTCGCGTCTCGAATCTCTGTGGAAGGAAAGCAAAGACGGATAGCCTGGAGGGTCTCCTCCAGGGAGCCCTGTGCATATAAGTCTTCCGAAAGCATCCTGACATGCAAGGGTTTGGGTTCGAATTACTGGCCTGTGAGGACAAATGGGATTTCTGCACCAGATCTACGGTGTGTGGCACGGCTCTTGGACTAGGGAGCACCCCTGAGTTCGTTTGGCAGGCACCGTGGCAGGACACCCACACCCAACATTTGAGCCGTCTTGATGAAGGTGATCGCGAAATGTCCTTGATACTCTCTGGGCGGCTACTCAAAATTAGAAGTGCCGCTGCTAGCGATGAAACTTGGAAGGTAGCGACCGTTGGAGGGTACTTCAACTTCGGCAAGGAGCGTTCTGCTCTCACTGCAGCTCACGCTTTCATGAGAGATTTGAATGGTCAGCCCAATGATTACAGTTTGGACGATTCCGAAGATGGGTCTGAACCGGAGAGCGACAGCGAAAGTGACGACGACAATGACAGCCAAAGTGACAGCGACATTGACCGCAACAACGGAAACGGTAATGGTGGTGGAAGCAACGACCCAACACGCAGCTCCAACGCTGGTCGATCCGACGGTCACTTGGTTCAATTTGACATTTGAGTCAGCAGCAGACACTGGAGCTGACCAGGCTCTAGACTGGGCATTGGTGGGTCGATCGCATCGGCCAGTGGTGGGAACAGAACCCCCAGAATGCCATCATGTTCAACACGTATTTCAGGGAGTCTCTCTGCCAAATCGGCCGATCTTGATGTTCTGCGGGAAATTCGGGCTGCTTTGGGGCAAGCTCCTGGGAATGTCGAGCAACATCTCACTTCCTGGGAACTCGAAGTTAGTCAAGGTATGGGCCGTGCAAAGGATTGACTGGTACGTGAATCAATACCTCCCAAACCAGGGCTAACGTTTTCGAGAAGAGCCAGGTGACTGCGGATCTTGAATCATGAGCCTAGATCTCCGGACTCTCTATGGGGTTGTCATTGCTTGTAGTCCTGCAACGAAACTCACCTATATCATTCCTGCTGAGGCCATTTTTCGAGACACTTGTCAGAGAATGGGTCTTCCGGAGGATGCCATGAACAAGTTGGACTGTTCCTTGACTGTTCCCAGGACCCAGACCTGGTCTCCAATAAGCTTTTGAATCTCCCGGTTGAGGGCTGTCAGTTCAATACCATGCTCACCATACGTGCAAGGAATTTTGAGTGTGTCCGATGGGGTGATTACGCAGAGTGCACTCGTCTGGACTCCAATCTGAACCCGAATTGAGTTTCACCCTCCACGCAGAGTTCGCCGCAACGGGCGACGCAGATGGCGCGAAGCGCTGCATCCAGGGGGCCACATTCCTGAGCTTCTTGAACGCCACTCCTGGAAATGGAGTTCCGCGTCGAACATTCCTCAAAATTGTCGAAATTCGGGACCAGGTTGTGATCTCTTATCTGGCCGGGCTGTGCAAGCATACTTAGGACAAATTCCACCACTATTGTACTTCTGGCAGGGTGAGCAACATGGCGCTTGATTTTATCACGGCTCTGGTGAAGAGACCTGATAGTCTTTGGAATGAACGTCAAGATTTCGGCCCTATATTCCCCCCCCCGGGGGGATTGTGATGCGACATCTAAGGCTCGGAAGGACCCAAGACGTTGTTGCAATTGGCGATGATGCCATATCGAAGGATTACGGTAAGACATGTTCCTCGCGGAATCCGACCATGAGTTTTCTGACGGGGCAATCCAAGCCATGGGTTTTTGAGTAAAATGAGATTCATGGCGCCGATGAGCCAGGGCTCAATGTTTCGGCCGTAGAAATTGCTTCTAGGCCAACGAGGCTAAAGAAAAGAAAACCAGAGGGTCAAGAGACACTGCGATGAACATGAACACTTCACGATCAGATTAGTTTTTCGGGGGTTATTAACAGGACTCTAAACTATGTGCAATACTTCCTCTTCCGTGCCTTGTACCAAGGGAGATCAAGTGTGTCTATAGGAGAATTGGAGGCTTTGATAAGGTGGGCCGAAACAGGCTCATCTCAAGGTCTTCCTGCGGAAGTTGTAACGATCAGCGACTGGAAGAGACGAGGCAGATTTGAAGGAGCCAATGGAAAATCGAGGCAGAATCGAGGATCGGGGCCCAAATGCAGTAGGCGGAGCTGATTTAAATAGCACGGTGGAGTGCGTCGGGGAAATGAAGAACAGGAGGATGAGAGGAACAGTACCGTAGGTATGCAGCGAGGCAGTAGTATGTAGATATATAGCGAGTGTAGCTAAACAACTCTATACTGCTACGTTGCCCTCTACAGAAGTGCCTAGGTTGAATGACACTGGTGACAGAGTCATCTACTTGGTATGCAATGGAAACCAATGTCAAGGCGCTCAAAGTCTCACAACAGGGTGGCGATAGGTACCCGGGGGTTCTAATAAGCAACAACCTACTTTCCTGATTAGGTATAGTACTATAGCAACATCACGTCACTCATTCAGTCATCAACCAGCTCGTCTATGGCGAGATGGCTACCGAGGCTACTCTCCTATTCCGCTCTGACCGGGAAAACCCCGCAGAATGCTGGCATCTCGCTTGGCTTCCCTCCCAGGCACCTTGGGCTGTTTGTTGTTGCCGTGACTGTTCTCCGCCCACCACTCTTGCAAGCCGAAACTCTCTCTTTCCGTCACTATGCTTTGTCAGAGCAAAAATCTCTCGTCGAATCCCAACTTCCCCAAAGGTGAGTCTATTCTGGCCAGACCAGTCCTGCATTATGTCAGGATCTAAGGTTTTCCCATCATGTCCTTGCAAAAGAGGGAGGAATCCCCTGTGGGCCCGATACTATGTACTGCGTCATTCTCGGGGGTTGACCGAGCCCTTGTTCGTTGCAAGCCAGCCTCGTTGGATATAACAACACCACACATTTCCTAGCTGTCGTATGTTGAATTCTTCATCAACACGTGCAAAGATCGTCAATACCAGCGAATTCATTCTGCTTGACCCTCAAATAATCAAACCCAACGTGGCTCAAATTAGTACGATTTGTTGAGAGATCGCCAACACTGCATTCAATCATCAAGCAATGCAAGCAATTGAACAAAACATCGGGTTGGTCTTTCCCTCAGATTTCAGCCCCGTCGCGCATGGCTGGTCCTATCCCTCGTCAGCTTCTTCTGATCGAAGCTCAATGGAAATATTGGATCTTTTATTTGATCCAGCTGAGAGTTCGCCAGTGCTTCATTCAAGCGAACCCCTTAAGGAAAGCAACTCTCAGCAGTCCCCATCTAGTAATCTTTATGGCAATACGTTCATGGATCCCTCGGGCGTTGATTTCTCAGTCGACTATGCGAGCAGCGAACAGTTAGATGACTTCGGGACAAAAGAGGCCACTGCAATCGACTATACAGAGTTGCCTCTACCGTCAAATTTTACTCACACAAAGATGATGGATCGCAAGCATCGACGGCGCGAGCAAAACCGCAAAGCCCAAAGCAATTTCCGACAAAAGCGAAAAGAAGAACTCCGCCGTCTCGAGCAGGAGGTCGAAGAACTCAGGGCTCAAATCGCCGGATATCACAAACGGGGTCCCATGGCCGGTCTGACCATCTGCACCAGATGCCGTAACTTCTACCCGGCCTCAACGGAAGCCGTGATGCCTCATTCGACAACCTCCGGGGTCTTCAGCTCAACTAGATCCAGTTGCGAAGGTTGAAAGCCTAACACTGGACAGTGCTGTGTCATCCCAGTGATCGTATGGTAGCCTCGATTGCAGCTCTGCCTCGAAGACACGCAGTTCACATCCTTGCGCCCACTTGGAGACTAAGCCACGACCATATCCTTATGCACTGAACAGAAGACTACCTACACCGCCAATTGTGGCTTATGCGTGTTGCAAGGCGTTCCCGACATTGCTTACCGCTCAGATTGGACGGCCCGGATTATGTATTGTCAGACTGACCCTCCCTGAGGTGGCGAGATGTTGTATACTGTGAGCTAGAGTAAGGGCGTTACATAGGAGATGGAGGTGGAGGATGAGAGACATATAATAACCTTGCGGTGGATTGGCCAGAACGCATAACCGTCTTCTGAGAGTGCGCATTCATTTTATCCTGCAGCAGCTCCGCCCGGCTCGAAGAAAAATTATGTCCAATCCCAACGACGCTTCGATTCTCGGCCTAGCTCGGCAGATTCAAACCAACGCCAGTACAATTTCCGAATACTTGCGGCAGAACTCCCTTTCCTCGCTCTCGGTTGCCGCAGACGCATACCCATTCTTCCCTGGGACTGGACCGACTAATGGCGACAGGTATCCACGGCTCGATGAGGACATTTTTGATGCGCGAACCCAACTCCGAGAAGCATGCGGTACCCCGCTGCAGTTAGTTTTGGGTTCAGCGGAAGCGTCTCTGAGTCTTTTGCTTTCGCATTTCATGTCGGCATGTATGCAATACATCTATCATTATCGGCTCGCTGAGGGAGTACCTGTCGCCGGGGACATAAGCTACAAAGACCATGCTGCCAAGATCGGCGCGTTAGAGGGTCAACGTGTCAGAAGCGCTGAAATATGCAATAATCCAGAATATATTTCGGCAATTAAGAGCGGGTCATATGGCTCAATGTCTTGTTCAAGACGTTACTAGCACCTGATTTTAGGGATATGGTCGGGTACGCGACCGAGGAGAGCTTCCTCGCGGCTCTAAAACTCGCCGAGGCAGTGGACAAGCATCCAGGAAGCCAAGAGAAAAACACGATGGCATGGATTCTGGGCCACAACACCGACCTCCCAATGTTCGTGAGTACTTCGAAAGGTATCCTGCGCGGTTACAACGGTTCATGGACTGCATGCGGTTCATGGGATCCGGAGAGAGTTACAACATCAAACATTTGGTAGAAGCATTCGACTGGAAAGCATTGGGCGACGGACTCGTGGCCGATGTGGGTGGTAGCTCTGGACATTGCTGTTTTGAGGTCGCCGAAATCGCGCCAGAGCTAAAGTTCATCGTACAAGATCTTGAAAAGGTGGCGACTCAAGCTCAGCAAGAGCGAACCAGCGACAAGCATGCCGAACGAGTCGAATTCCAAACACATAATTTCTTCACACCGCAGCTTGTCAAGAACGCCGATGTGTATCTGCTGAGGTTCATCTGCCACGATTACTCCGGCAAGTATGCTGCGCAGATATTGAGCAATATAACCCCCGCCATGGGCCCCAATAGCAGGATTGTGATCGTTGATGCCGTCATGCCTGAGGTAGGTGTCTTGAGCAAGGCCGATGAAATTCGAGCAAGGTGAGGTCGTTGTTCCCCAGAAACATGATAAAGCGTACTGACCACTGGCTTCTCAGAGTTTTGGATATAGAGATGATGCTTAGTTTTAACGGGTGCGAGAGGGACGAAAGTGGCTGGAAGGCATTGTTTGAGCAGGCCGATCCGAGATTGGAGCTGCGCAGCACCAAGAAAATACCTGGCAACATTCATGGCGTGATGGAGGTGGGGTTAAAGAAGTATCTTCTACATCAGAGTTGAAGTCGAGAAGGAGTATCAAAAGACGCCAGGACCAGTTCGACTGTAAGCGAAGGCGCACACCTCCAAGTATTTCAGCGGTGTCAGAAGTGAACTTGCTGAGTGTTGCACTCGCTTTTTGCATCGAACTTCCGCTATACCATTTGCTCCTGTGTTGATCCCACTTCAATCACTAGGTTCAGCAAGTATTTCTTGACGTACGGTGTTCCTGTTGAGAGGATTGCAAACCTGAGACCTGGACAATTTCACCATCTACGCCACTTACCTCAACGGCGTAGATCACGCCAATCTTAAAGAGGATGACGTCGGCGTGGAAGCTTCGGGAACGGCCTTCAGACCACAGGCCAAAGTGTATATGGATAGCCAGCGTCTATCTGAGTAGGCAGAGAAAAGGACACCATCAACCCGATGAATCCCGCTCTCTGTTGCGTTGTACGACAGTTCCAAATGGTCTGGCAGTGTAGAGTATTTGCAACGGGGCATAGTTTGCTGCAAGCAGTGGTGGGAAGTAGGCATGAAATAGCAGGAGAAACCCTGTGAGCGCGGTGATTGACAAGGCTGAGTGAGAAGTGAACGAAGGGTTCCAAGGCTCCTTCACCTTTGCAACGAGCATGAAAAAGGAAAAAACTCCGACGTTCTACCGCCTTGGCACCTCGGCGCCTTGTAAGCGGGAGACTCAAAAAGTTCCACAAATCATCTCATGTCATTCCGACTTTCCCTGCTCGATCTTTTTCACTTGCGATACACGAATGCCGTCACATTTCTAGGAAGACAGAACTCGGATACGGCAGGGCGTTGCTCCCGGATAACTCAATTATGAATTGACGAGGTCTAAGATAAAAGTTTTCCATTTCCAGCTGCTAATCTTTCTGGTCGCGTGCCGCCAGTACCCACGTCCGAGGTGGATATCCTCTTCTCATTCTTCTCGGGCAGTCAGCGGTTTCGACATTCAGTTTGACGTCAAACATGGCCAGGCATAAGTACATCGATCCAGCAACCTATCCCAGCCTCTCCGACTACGAAATCGCCACGGTCCGGAACATCTACGCCTTCACCGAGAGGTACTTCCAAGACCCACGCTTTGACGCGTCCCATGACTTCAACCACGTGCGGCGAGTCCTCAGCAATGCTCTAACAATCCTTGAGAAGGAAGAAGAGGAACGGAAACAGAAGGCCTTGCCCGCGTTGAATCCTCTGAGTGTCATTTTAGGCGCGTTGTTGCATGACGTTGAGGACAAGAAGTATGTCGATGTGACGACGGACCAACAGAAGCTGAGTTTGCGAAAGGCGGTGGTTGAAGCCGGGATGCCAGACAGCTATGCTGAGCATATTCAATTGTTGGTCGAGGGTGTATCGTATTCCTCCGAGGTGAAGAATCCTCGACACGTGAGAGATCTCATTGACGCCATACCAGAGTTGGCTATTGTTCAAGACGCCGATCGACTTGATGCCATCGGTGCCATTGGAATAGCTAGATGTTTCACATTTGGTGGGGCTAAGGGTGCTAGGAGTTTGCAAGACTCGATTCAGCACTTTGAGGATAAGTTGCTTAAGCTGGAGGCCATGATGAAGACTGAGACTGGAAAGGCGATGGCCAAGGAGAGGTCGAGCAGGATCCGTGAGTTTGTGGGGTGGTGGAACGATGAGGTTGGTGCGACTGGTACATTAAATTGAACCACTCATTTCCGAGGCTTGACCTTCGAGATTGGGTTTCCTCATCGGCACTTCTTTCAAGACTGCCTGTCACCACCGAGGGGTCTGCCGATCATACCGCCTCACGTTTCTTCGGCATCGCCAGGTTCACCAAGATCTTCCCCAGCTTGTGCGAGTGGATCTCCCTGCTCATGGGTGACGGAATGTGGTGTTGGTCCAGCAGATGTGACTTTCGGTGGCGGGGCAAGCGGTGTGCCCTTTCTCGAAGGCACATGATCTTGCTCGGCACTCTTCTTTGCCCCTTCAGCAAATATATCATCGAAGCCACTACCCAGAGCGGCTGCGCCATGATGTCTGCCTTTTCGTGATCTGGAAGCTGCGGATGCATTGGGCGGTGGGGCATTGGGATTCATCAGTGGCGGCGGAGGAATATTCGGGTTAACCATCGGTGGTGGAGGTAGATGCTGAGCTGGGGCAGGCTGGAAAGTGTTGGTGAACACCTCCTGTTGCCCATTTTCCCAGCTCTTCCTGTCAGCGTCAAATAGATTTTCTCCTGGTGCTTGCACCTCCTCTCCCAATCCCACAGGCAGACGATGTAGGGCGCCGAAACCAAGGATTGCTCCCAAAGCGCCCTCTCCTCCCCATCCTCTTCGCGGCACGAGTTCCACCTCTCGAACCACGTCGAATTCCGAGTTGTAGACCCATAGTACCAGACTGCGGTTAAGGTGGTCTTCGACGAGCTCGCCGAGAGCACCTTCTCCTTTCAAAGTACCGCTTGGGGAGCCTAGGATGTAGTCGCTGTGTGGTAGGAGCCCCGCTTGATGGGCGGGAGACAAAGGGGAAGGAATGCTAAGAACGTGCCAGATGTTGTGTGAGGAACTGAGAGGTGCGAGTTGTAAGGAGAGCCCGAGCGTTTCGGGGAGCGCGGGGACGGCGACACTGACCGAATGTGTTCTTTGACCCTGCACAATGATCAGAAAACATAATTTTAAGTCGCGGAAGGGACCTCGTACCTTTGCGCTCCATAGATCCAGGGAACAGTATCCGCCGGCGCAGTTGCGCAGTTCCGTCGTAAACAAGGTGGGATCCGGGGAGTCCTTCAGGGAGTCAGCATGAAATCTCATACTTGTTGCTCCTTGTTGAGCTAGACAAATACCAGGTAATGGCCGTTGATGCCTATGATAAAGTCAAACCAGGGCTCGATAGGGAGGTCCTTGTTCGTGTTTCGAAGGACTTGAAAGCCATATGAGGTATCTGATGGTCCTGCATCTGCCTGGCGTGGAGGCGGCTCACCGTCGAGTCGAGATATAAAGCGGTTCAAAGCGCCAAACATATTGGGCGACGTCGCTGGGGGAGTAAGGGCAAGACTTTAGTGTTTAGACCTCATTGTTCTGTTAAGAGAACATGGAGTGCTCCCTGCTTGGTAGCACGAGTATCGTAGGTAACAATTGCAGGCACGTGTTGAGTCCATGACGCGCCTGGAAAATGGCTTGGTGGAGCAGAGTGAACACGCCAAGCTTGGAACAGCTCCCCCAGTTCGAGGTACCTCGTAACAAGTCCTTTTGACATCGATTTTTCCAACACTGTCTAATATTGGTCCTTGAACTACGTACCTTAAGTGAGTCCTGCTCTACGATCTCCGAAATCGCCTCGACCTAAAGAGATCGGTACCTTCATTGTGAACTACCTGTCCTACAGCGCCATCGACACATCCTGCTTTCGGCTCGTTTGCTAATGTCTCAGCGGCTGCCATCCATGGTCCTCCTTCTCTTCTCGTATGCTGGAGATGAAGCTTTGATCCGCGGCGCTCCGTGGACAAGATCTTGAGGTAGCTCACAGGCATTCAACCAAGTCGCAATGGGATGTGAAATGTGGAGGCTTTGAAAATAGAAACGCCCATCCTCGGAACTGCCTCTGGAGACGTCACGTCATGAAATATACATTGTCTCAGTCGGGTCATGTGTCCATCCCTCTCAATCCAAAAGAAGGTACAATCCTGAGACAAGGAGCGCAGCGTGGTGCAATCCATACTGTGGTAGCTGCTACTGTATCTGCTCGAGGTGCCACCCGAAAAATACTACCTCATGGCGTCAATGGTGTGTTCTCGCATCGGATAAAATGCTTTTCCGAAACCCCGGCTACCCGAACCGTATGCGGTTAGAGCTTTTTATTTGAGGCGTCATGATTGGTGGAGCTTCGACCTCTTGTTTTTGCTGCGCCTTGAAACTGGATCCCAGCCTTTCGCGCTCAGCCGCCCAGCTTAGGAGCTCTCTCCACAGAATTTCTCTCACCTCAGCCTCGATGTCGATTCAAATATGACTCGCATGATCTACCCTTATGCGAGCCAATCGCCATGCGATCCTGGCTTTGAACAACACCACCCACACCTTACTGCTGAGCCCCGAGCCTCAGTGCCACAACCTATGCAAACTTTCAACCATCGCAAGCAATGCTACACCTCAATTGTCACCATGGTTCGCATGACAGCAGCAAACTACCAGGTATACTTTCAGGCTCATATACTGCTGTATAAGAAGGTGAGTACCTTGCTGCTGAGGTTCGGACATGCCCATCATCTCGACAGCAAAACAATCATCGCAATAATCTCCTTATCTCTCGTTTCCTTACCACAATCGTTTTAACAGACTAATTTCCTCACCACACTCGCTTCAAGCAACACCAATTTGATACTCTTCCGATTCTCAAGCATATCATCAATCGCTAGTCATCAAATATGCATTCTTCGATTTCTTTCCTTGTTGCGGCACTTGCCACAGGCGCGTTCGCAATTCCAGTGACAAACACTACCACCAGTTCCTACTATTGTGGCTTCGGCACTAATGCAGATGGTTCCTGCATTGTTCCAACTACGACCACAACCTCTGTATCCTCTACTTCTACATCGAGCTTCTATTGTGGTTTCGGGACCGCCCTCGATGGCAAATGTATTACCCCATCATCAAGCACTACATCGACTTCATCCAGTTCTACAACGACATCGTACTACTGCGGGTTTGGCACGGCCTTGGACGGCAAGTGCGTTACTCCTACAACGACTACGACGTCCACTTCATCTACAACGACCTCCTCATACTATTGTGGGTTTGGCACCGCGCTAGACGGAAAATGTGTCACTCCAACGAGCACGAGCACCTCGACTGTCACTACCACCACTTCCTCCTCGCATTCCGTTACCACTACAAAGAGCACCAGCACCAGCAGCAGTGCAAGCAAGACAACCAGCTCCAGCACAAGTGCCAGCAGTAGCACAAGCACGACAACCAAGGCGAGCAGCTCTAGCGCCAGCAGTGCAACCAGCACCCCGACTACCTCTGGCTCTCACTATTGCGGGTTTGGCACTGCTTTGAATGGGAAGTGCAACCCGGCGCCAACCTCGACTAGCACCTCAACCACTTCTACAACTACTCCTTGGTCCCATTGGTGCGGATACGGCACAGCGGCCAACGGTCAGTGCAATCCGCCACCTCCCAAGCCGACCACCACCACATCTAATGGCTGCCCTGCTCCTGCCACGGTCACTGTCACCGCCACCCCTACTTTGGCGCCGAACTTCTTCTACGGTTTGAGTGAGTGCGTCGGCTGCCAATGGATCACGATCACCATGGCCGTGCCCACTTCGGTCGGCGCCTGGTAGGGATTGGTTAGAAGTCGCGGAGAACAGGTCAGACTAGGCAATATCAGTAACGAGAACAAGCATTGGGCTGTAGGGCAGCATGTCTTTTTAATGCGGCTTGCATGTGGTGGCATAATTTGTATCTTTCTCAGCATAGCGGAGGTCTGGCATTAATATGGTACACATACATATCGAACGTAATCACTCCTTAAATTGAATGCAAAATATTACTCTCGAGCTGATTCGATCTTGCCTGTAAATACGTTATAGCCCCTTTTGGTCTGGCGCTGCAAATAATGATTTCGTCTGACTATGTCATTTGAAGTCTAGATCTGTCGCGTCTTGTTGAATCTTCGCTTGGAACACGAACAAGCTTCGGTCTGCGTCTTCTTTCAACGTGTTCGGTATCTCGAAGTGCAGTTTCTTGGTGTGTCTTTTTGATATTCGATGACACGGACCCAGCCGGTGACGGCTGTAACAATTTTAAGCCCTGTTCTTGATTGCCTTGTGCCTGGCTGCCTCCGTTTCCTGTCTGGTACCTGCGTGACTGAACTGAACGTGTTCCCACCAGCGTTGTGTGTATGTGTGCAGGAAGGACAGCCATCAAGAAAGCTCGAAACCACGAGCAAGTGTTGGAAAAACCTTCTGTACTCACAGCACATGGTCTCTTTTGCGGCCGTGGCCAGTGTCGTTGTGCTGATCCCTCTTCTGATGCTGAGATTCCATGGCCGCGGCCGGAGCAGTGTGCCGTCGCCACCGTCGGCGAAGAGGGCTCTCGTATCAGAAAGCAAAAAGATTTTTGTACGATTCTGACAAAAGGCGAGACCTTGAAAAGACCTGCGCTGTCACCAGAAAGTGTCGTGCTGATACTAGGCCAAATCATCATGGGTACTCTCCTGAGGGCTGTTTCCTTCTTACTTCCTCTACATCTGGACGGTCACGATAGACTCCGGAGTGAGTGAGTAGGCAGTGCAGCTGGTATGGCTGTGTCTTAAGCGCCTAGTGCGCAATGTTAGCGGGAGGCCAAAGAAATCCCGTCAAGGTCAATGCGAGGTCGTCACCATACCATACCCTTTCTGCCGCCCAAGGGATTATCGTTTGCAGACTATTCGTCAATATGACCATTCCCGCCTCAATTGGGGCGAGGGCAGGGTGCATCGCCTCTCTGCACGCCATCTGGGGCTGTGGATGGTGAGTGGCTCTTTGATACACTATGTGTCTGAACCCCTTGTCCCGGGGTTCTTTGGCCGCATCCGCAACCACGCATCTGTCCTCGAAGCCTGAACTGCGCCTCTTTTCTTGCTGCATATTGCGCCATCGGGATGAAGGACGAACAAGGAGCTCCTTTCTTCCAGCCAATTATCCAGAATCCTCGAGCTGCGCCGCTGTTGAACGGCTACATGTACGTCTGGCTGTCAGGAATCAACTACTGAGTCATTTAGAAGCAGCAAAGTCAGTGGCTGAGCATTAAACCGTCGCCTGAGGTCTGACCGTGCGAGACTCTTCCTTGCTTCTTTGAGAGCATGCGAGGTTATAAAGACCACTCGGGTTCCGGTAAGCCTATCATCTAATCTTCAGCGAATACTGACATAGACCTCTTGTCCACTAACTGTCTGAGGTTCCTAAATTCGATTATATTTCAATATGCCTACTATCAAGAAGCTCTGCCGCGTTTTAGGCATCTCGCACCCTGAGGACCAATCTACATGCATCGGATACTGTGTCAACAAACCGACCTGCCGAAATCTAGTAGCAGGGGCATCTCGTTCCGCGGCTACAAGGGAACTTGTGGATATCTGCGATGCTCTGGCGCGGGGGGTCAACCCCTCAAGGCTAGGAGCGCAGTTGCAAAATGTAGCAAAACTGCTTCATTGCAAAAGGTATGTCCTTTTGAGCCATTCTGCTGTGCCGACGGAGAGCAATCATTTTTCGGGCTTTGGACAAGGATCAAATGGCTGACGCGACCTTTGAGCGAGGAGTAGAGACCACCAGAGCCAGGCACCCTCGAAAGCCCAGAAATGGGGTGACAGAGTGATCGAATATGTGGAGGAAAGACAGGATGCAGGACGCTACATAAGGGTTCAGCCTCGAAGGTCTACTTCTTCTAGTCAACGCCAGCTCGGCAACATCCATGTCGTATCACCGACGAGAACAGCAATATCGCTCTCATCAATCGGAGACGAGGACCTTCTCGGCGAGTTGGCCGCCCGCTTCGAGTTACGAAGTCAGACAATCAGGTCCATTGAGGCCATTATGGCCGGCTCCTATTACCGAATGGACAACCGAACGGCACTGTCGCCAGCCACTGAAGCAGCCTCTGGAAGACATGGCGGTGACGTATATGATGAAGAGGGATATTCCTCAGATGAGACATCCGGCGAAGACGAATACTCTTCAGATGAAGAGTCCGAAGAAGAACCATCTTCGGACGCGAGATTCCTAAGACATGCCGCCTCCGGGCATGCTGCGCGACCTGTCCTTCCACCACCATCTCCCCCTCGCGGACCGTTGCTCTCGTCGTCATCGTCAGGAGGTAGCGGTAGCGGTACCCGCACTTCCCGCTCCTCGTCTTCGTCTTCATCCTTGTCCCGGACCAGCCGCGCAACATCCCCATCCTCGTCCCCTGCCGAATCCGAATGCGGTATCTGCCTGTGCGGCATGCCATCTCAGAACCAAAGGCAAAGCAACAGTAGCATCTGGCGCTGTGCAACGTGCCACAACGCCACGCACGCCATCTGTTTTGATGAGTGGATGGCAAGGTCCACCAGGGATCGCGTGACATGTATTTACTGGTACGTTCTCTCGTCCCATCCTCTCGTCTCAGTCCTTGAGAGATATGTGAAGAAGAAGTACACCCAAAGTTTTTACATGTTCTAATTCTTCTGCTTATAGCCGCTCGCCTGTCGCCACAAACTAGTCTGTCATTTTGTCAGTCAATTCAGCACTTTCCCTTTTCGATCGGGTACCATCAGAATTTGTTCGAGAGTCAATCACCGGAACCAAGAAGTGCATGCGCAGGCGGGCGTCTTGATTAATTGTATGATCATGGGAATCGCAATGGGAGTCGCGGCGGAATTGGATCCTTGGCGGAGTTCATAAGCGAGGGGGGAGGGCATACAGTCTGGGGCTGATATTGAATAATCCTGCATAGCCTGCCAATATCGTGACTTGTCAAGACTTTTTGAATATCAATACGCATAAGCTGCCCCTCTGGTTCGTTCGCATTCCGAACAGGACCTCAGTGAGTCTCTATTGAATAACTCTGCAAGGATGGTCGGTCCTTCTATCCATCCGCCCAATCAAAGAACACGCGTTCGAAGCAGACCGCCACGGATGGACAAAACCAAGAGTTCATTTACACCTTCACGAAGCAAAAAGCATGATAGAACGCCACTGCATCCTTCTCGTCCTCACTCAGCAGCATCTCCCCGCCTTCATGCTTGGTCACTCCCATCCTCGCCGCCAGATGCACCATCTCACGATCCCCTTGCTCTTGTTGCCAAATATCCAAAAACGGCTTTCGGTAGCGTTGTTCCAGGTTGTAGTGTTCAGCCAACGCACGGAAAGCTTCCCAAGGCACCACGAATTCGGGGACGTCGACGGCTTCGGCCATCCAGTAGGTGTATTTCCAACTGAACGGTGGGCGAAAGGAACCATCTGGCTGTAAGGGACGCAACGGGTCGATCGGGAACCGGACGTTGTAGATGGAGTTGCCCCATTGAGGGCCTTCTTCGTCGGCTTCGCCGTCCTCTTTCTCAGAGTTGGCATCGTTGGAACCATGCTCCTGGGCCTTCTTCGCTTCTTTATCCTTGAACCATTCTCTGATCTTCGCCGCGCAAACGTCACTGTTCGGCACCACGCCGATAAATCGTCCTCCTTTCTTCAAGCTCCCCGCCACGTTGCGGAGCATCATTCGTACTTTCTCCTCGGACTCAAACGAGTAGTGCATAGCGAACATGCAAGTCACAACGTCAAAGCCGCCACCGCTCCAGCGAGTGGGTTGGCCATTTCCTGCATTGGGGTCGATGCCGACTTCACGAATAATGCCGATGTCGCCAATCCAGGCACCGAAGCAATCCTGCGGTACGAAGCGCGCGTCGAAAATGGGACGACGACCTCGTCGCATCTGTTGATATCGTTCGTGAGCTTGTTGGATGCTCGTCTCGGCCGGATCGAGACCGACGTACAACCCAACAGTTTGCGGGGCTAGTTGCCATTTCCCCAGGTCACCGCCTTTACCACATCCGATGTCGAGGACGAGAAGTGGCTTCTGTGCTGCTGGCTCTTTCGCTTCCTCCCCCCAACCCAACTCTTCCTCCTCGGTTTTCTCTTCCGGACTGAATTTGTGGATGAGGCAGGACTTGACCCAATTGTTGAAACTGCGAAGTCCTTTAATTTGAGATTCGTTCCTTCGCCAATCTCGTCCCCTCTCCTTCACCCACTCCGGCCGCGCATTGTAGAACTGGTTGGAGACTTCTTGAACACCGCGATTGACTTGAGCATGTAGCCCGGCCTGCTTCTGCTCGCGCTCGGCAGCAAGACGCTGTTGTTCGGCTAGCACGTTACGACCTCGACCGCGAGCACCGCCAGGACGGATTATATCTCGTGGTGGAGAGTCACGGATTGGGGAGGGGGATTTGCGACGCTCTTGTGGAGGAGAACGGCGACGGTAGGCGTCTAACGGGGGACGTCGTCGAGGAGGGGATCGTGATCGTCGCTTAGGGAGCGCGTCCCTCCGGTCTCTTCGACGGTCATCGGTGTCCGGTCGTCGACTATACGCGTCGGGAACGCGGCGTGATGTATAGACTTCACCCTCTTCTCTCATTTTACGTGGGATTCGGGGCAGATCTGCCGGTGTTTTGGGCTTGGGTTTCTCGGCAAGAGTTCCATTTGTTGAAGGTCTGGGCGACAATTTGTCTCGTCTTGAGGGTGAAATGGAAGCGCGTGATTTCTTCACTAGAGGAGTCCCGTCGGTTTCCTGTCTCTTTGTCTTAGTCGCAGCCTTCACTTCTCCGTCAGGCGATTCCGATCGTCTTCGCTTTCGAGATTGATCTGTTGCTTCCTCTGCTGCCGGACTGGACGTTGCCGGAGCCGTGGTCTTTGCATGTTCCTCGACATCTTCGGCAATTGCTTGTTCAGCTATGGTGTCTGGTAGTTCTTTGAAAGTGTCTCGAGCAGGATCATATGCAAAAGACGATCGTCGTCTCGGAGGAGCAACGGGCGCGGGTGGAGGGTTGGACATGTTTGGCCCGTCTTGTGGCTCGGCGGTCGCGAGCCTATTATGCTGGCAGATTGCAATACGAAACTGGCCAGTAAATATCTTCCTTTTTTTGATATTGAGAATAGAGAACTATAGAAAGAGTACACAGGCCGTGAATGAAAAGTGAAATACGACAATTATACGAAGTACTGTCAAGGAAGGAGGCGCCGCATGCGCTACGGCGAAACATTCGATTCAATTTGTAAATGTTCAAATGTTCGACATTGTCATCTCGTTGTTCCCATTTAAATAATCTATCCTGCATTCATCAATTGAGTTTGATTTTCATGGATCTACACTGTGTATAATCTCACTTGGTCGTTTCATGGATCTCTCTGGTGGTGTCGTCGTGTGCAGCATGCGATTCCAGCTCGTCATCATCCTTGGTGGGAAGCCGATCCACGGTACCAAAGACAACTTCCATCTCTTCTAAGCTCTTGCCCGTTGTCTCCTTGAGTAGGAAATAACTGTAAAAGATAATGGCATAGTTGAACACAGCAAACATGAGGAACGTTCTCCAGCCAATATTAGAAATGGCATGTGGAGTGATCTGGCTCATGACGAAATTGAAGAGCCATTGACTTGCGGCACCTGTCGCAACACCAATCTCCCGGATCCGGTTGGGGAAGATCTCTCCGATATAGAGCCACGGCAGGGGACCCCAAGACATGTTGAATGCGAATGCCTCGAGATATACCATCGCAATACCAGCCGCTCCAGACGATGTGATTCCCGTGGCCGATGGCTTGGGAGGATGTGTGTCGACGATCAATGCAATGATGAGCATAAAACTGCCCATTGCAAATGCGCCCACCATGAAGGGGATCTTGCGACCGAATTTCTCGACAAAGAAGAGGATGAACGTCAGGACGCCAGCTATCTTGACAAGTCCGAAGAAGCCAGTGATGAAAAGTGTCTTGTTGCCAGCTCCGATTGTAGCAAAGATCTGTGGGGCGTAGTAGGCAAGTGAGGTGTTACCGGTCAGTTGTGCGCAGAGTTGGATCGTGACGGCGATGAACATTCGGTATCTATTCGATGGCAGGAGGAGTTCCTTCCATGTGAGGCCTTCGGATTCTCGTACTTCCAATTCCACCCCAGCAAGAATCTCTTCAAATTCGGCCCGAATCTCTGGGCCATCGACGCCGCCACGGACCCAAAGGAGAGACGCATAGGCTTCTTCGTTGCGACCCTTCTTCGCGAGCCACCTAGTAGACTCCCTGACCAGCAACATACCCAGCCCAAGTAAGCCACCGGGGACTAGCTGCAGGCCAACGGGGACCTGCCATTGTGTTGAAGATGTCTTAGAAATGCCCACTTGAGCAGCGTAGTCGACCCAGTAGCTGACGCAAACACCTGTCGCGAAAAACAGCTGAAAGCAAGAGCCGAGCTTGCCTCGAATCTCTTTTGGCGCCATTTCTGCCGAGAACATTGGGACCAACACCGTCGCTGCTCCAGTACCCAAACCCGAGATGACTCGCCCAGCATAGAAGAGGCCGATGGAATGGGAATTGATGACTTGCAAGATACATCCGATGCTGAACACAACAGAGGCGATGATGAACCCCCACCGTCGACCCAGCCATCCAGTCAACGGCCAGATAAAGAAACAACCAAAGAAGGCACCGGCTTGGAGAATCGAGACACAATTTGAATTGACCTGCGTCTTATCGGCCTTTGAGTAACCGAAGTCATTTTGAAACGAGGGAAACGTCAAAACGCCTCCCACAATGCCCGTGTCGTAGGCGAAAAGGAAAGAGCCAATGCAGCACAGGGCGACGACGTAGCAAGCTCGAAATGTGCCGCGCGACTTGCCCATGGTGATCTCTTGTTCAGTGGCGGCCGGTGCAGTGTCGGGTGTGTCACCTTGCTGCAGAAGCTGGTAGCCGGCGGAGGAAGAAGACGCCATGGCTGGTTCTTATACCAACGCAACTGACCACCCGCCACAATCGCTGTCTCCAGCACGGTTCGGTCTAGTGGCCACCGGACTGCGATTCCTTTGAGAAGGATGGACCAAAATGTTGGAAGGCAAGAAGACAGGGCCCGTCAATCACGCCATAGATGCGGGGGAATCCAGTGTTCGGATGATCAGATGCAAAGGGTATGAGTCGCGTAGATCCAACTGTGGTAGCGCTGTGAGAGGAGCAAGGATCGACAAGGGGATGGCAGTTAATGGAGACAGGCGTGCGCAATAACTCTGATATACTGTAGGGTATTAGAAGATTGGCTGAGATGGATGAAGTTGGAAGGGCGAGACTTTCAGGCACGCCATGGCCGCCACCACCAAAAACAGGGATCCCGGCTCCAGGCTTTCCCCAGATTGATTTGGCGCCAGCCGCTGCACCTACAGGCAGGGTTCACAAGCTCTCCCCGCCTTTAATCAAGTCGCCAACTATTTAGCATAGTGGGCTGGTGAGGCTACCTAGAAAATAGGTTCTATAGGCACCAGGCCCATTAAGCGTTGCCTCCTGGACTTTTGCTTAGCGCGTTTGCACGCGACAGATGCAACATGCCCCTCCAAGAGACCTCTCGATCCCCAGTTAGGTGAGACTTCGCCATAAGATTGCTCCGATATCGTCGTCCCTTTGTTAATTCCCCTCCTGCTCGCTATCGGCCCGGCCTAGGAATCTTTGCTGTCGTCCTCGTTGTTGCCTTGTTGGGCTTTCGGCGTTGGTGTCATTTGTTCCTGACCATTGACCGTGGATAGACATTCAGCCATGGTTGGCAGACGCCCCAATTTCCTCATTATCGTCGCTGATGACATGGGATTTTCAGATGCCGGCTGCTTCGGGTCGGAGATTCGCACTCCCAATATCGACAAGTTGGCCAAAGATGGCATCCGTCTCACCGGCTTCCATGCTGCGGCCGCATGCTCTCCAACAAGAGCAATGATTCTAACGGGAACCGATCATCATATTGCGGGCTTGGGCAACCTGATTGAATGGACCGATTTCTCGGGCCAGAACTTCCCCAAAGGAAGCAAGTATTCGACTGCACCCCAACGAGGCATGCCAGGGTACGAAGGGTACTTGAATGCTCGAGTGGCAGCATTGCCCGAGATTCTGAAAGACGGAGGATATCACACCGTCATGAGTGGAAAATGGCATCTAGGGCTCACCAAAGAGCGGAGTCCTCAGGCACGGGGCTTTGACCGAAGCCTGGCCCTCTTGCCGGCGTGCTCAAATCATTACGACTGGAGGCCAGAGGCCGATTTTCCAAAGTTCCTAGAGAAGAGCGTCATTGCGTTACACATGGAGGACGACCACTATGTCAAAGATCTGCCCGAGGGATGGTACTCAAGTGACGGATATGGAAGTCGAATGCTGCGCTATTTAAAAGAATGGAAAGAGGACAAGGAACTCTCCAAGAAGCCCTTCTTCGCATACTACCCCTTCTCCGCGCCGCATTGGCCTCTTCAGGCCCCCAAGGAGTACATTGATCACTATCGCGGCATCTATAAGGAAGGCCCGGAAGCTCTTCGTCAAGCACGGCTGGAGAAACTGATTGAACTCGGAATGATACCCGATGATGTCAAGCCTCATCCTGTTGTTGCGGACGAAGTGCCTGGGTGGGATGAAATGGATGACTTTCACAAAAAGGCCTCTTCATGTTCGATGGAAGCGTACGCTGGGATGGTCGAGTGCCTAGATCACAACATCGGCCGAGTCACCGACTACCTAGAATCCATCGGTGAGTTAGACAATACATACATAATGTTCTTCTCCGACAATGGTGCCGAGGGGGCTGCGTACGAAGCATACCCCATGGTGGCCGGTGAGCTGATGGAACATATTGGCAAGTACTACAACAATTCACTCGAGAACATTGGCAACAAAGACAGTTTCGTCTGGTATGGCCCACGCTGGGCCCAAGCAGCAACCGCCCCGAGTAGACTGTACAAAGCATATACGACCGAGGGAGGTGTCCGGGTGCCTTGCGTTATCCGGTATCCGCCGATGCATCAAGGTCGAGAAGGCGAAATATCCGAGACGTTCGCGACAGTGATGGACATCGCGCCCACGCTGCTTTCCCTCGCCGGCATCAAACATCCCTCTCCGGAGTGGAAAGGCCGACGGATCGTCCCGATGCGCGGCAAGGACATGACACCGTGGCTGAACGGCAAACAAGATCTAGTTCACGATCCTGACGAGGCGTTTGGGTGGGAACTTTGCGGACGGGCTGCAATTCGCAAGGGACAGTGGAAAGCCGACTTTATTCCATTCCCCAAGGGCACCTCGGCGTGGCAGCTGTACGATCTCTCCAAAGACCCCGGCGAGACGGAAGATCTGGCCACCAAGTACCCAGAGATCCTCAAGGAGTTGCTCGATCTCTGGGAAATATATTGCGAAGAGACCGGAGTGGTACCCCTGCAACCGGAACTGGGGGCTCGGTTCCATGAAGCCGTTGAGGCACAGATGAAAGAGGGAGAATGGATTGAATACGAGTACTGGAAACCTGGGGCACTAGAAGAGAGGAGGCGTCAGGAATTTGTCAGGGAGATTGCGAAGGTGAGTGATCCTAGAATCAAAGAGGCTGCCGGTGGACAACTGGTCAACGCTGTCGATGCTTGAGAGGAGCGGAGCTAGAAGTGAATCGAGAAGCAGAAAGTAGGCTCGCAGATGAGGAAGTCATGAAGCATACGAGGATAGACAAAACTTGAAACAAATCGCAATGTAGGGAGCACCTCGTAGATGGCCGTGAATGAGTGAGGGCCCTGAACACTCATCACCGTATTAGATCAGCGACGCTGTGTTTGATATCACTCATCGCTCAGCAGTGCAGTGGTCTAGCTGTGAATGGCTGGCGCCAAACAGCGAATGTGGCTATCTCCTATATTTGTACATACATATTACTCCATCTTCCTCCGTCGCCTGAGGCTCGATGTCGGCAGATTAAAAAGACGCTTCAGCCTCCTACGTAGCCAGCCACCGCTACGCTGTACACCGTAAGCAAACCAGAGCATCTCTCGATAGGTACCTGGTCAGCGCTAGCAGCACCACTACTGTAAATCCCGTCTTTCTTACCTTAACTCAGCTCTGACCTGTGTCGACGTCCACGAAACGCCTGCTACATCTGTGAACGCCTGCTATATACGTACGCGTCCTACTAAAAACAGGACAACATCCCCTCGAACAAATCCCTGGCACTTTCAGCATAAATAGGATCGCCCGCTCAATCACTGCTTCTCGTTCGTACGTACGTATCATTACCACTCCATTCGGCCCAGCCTTCGATAGAAAGAGAGACAGAGAGACCTTCTCAGATTGCCCGCAACTTACTTTCATTGCCAAGTGTCAACGGGCCAGACAAATAAACATGGCAACCACCAAGCGACCCTCGATTTTCTCGCGCCTCTCATCATCATCCTCCTCCGCCGCCGCCTCTTCGGTAACCTCTGACGCAGCTTCCGTCAAATCCACGCCGTCTGTGTCCTCATTGCAGCCCTTACTTTCCAAGGCCCGCCAGAAAGACGCGCCCCGTTCGAAAGGCGACAGCGACGCCAAGGCGTTCAATTTCAACATGAGCTACCCTTATAGTACCTCGGGTGCCGCTGCCATGTCGGCAAGTGCATCTCTTTGAACGTCTCAGTTAGGTAGAGTCTGGCGATTGATTGAACGGCAGCTGCGAAGTTGTGCTCTGCGGTGTCGGGCCCGCTCGGCAGCTCGACGAATGGATTGTGGCGGGTGTCGAGAATGAATCCTGCAACCACCGCCCAAGCAAGAGCTTGTGCTGGTCCTAGAAATGACCATCTTTCCCTCGCATATCAGCCCTGTCTGCTCCGTATTCTGAGCTTGATGGTTAAACGGGTTACCTTGCCCCCAGCAAATTTCCCCGTTGTCCAGGTGACTTGGTCTCAAGATCTGGGCGTGGGCATGTTTCATCACCACACCAAGTTGATCCCAGATTTCGGGGAACGAGCTCGGTCTATACATACACAACTACTACGATTCCGAAAGTGACAGCTGGCTTTTGGGGTGTTCCCCACCGGTTGGTTGGTCCACTTTGTTGTGGTGCGCGCCCTACGCAGTAACAACTTCCTGTGTGACCGTATTTGTGGATTCTATACTACGTACACAGGGATCATACACTCCCGATCCGGGGCGACACGATAACGAAGAATGTTCACGAACCAACCGCAACGCATGCTCTAACTAAATAAACATAGGCAAGGTGCGGAAACTCTACCCCGGGGAACGGGGAAGGCGGAGGGGGGAGGAGAAAACTGTATGTCTACGTGTGTAATAATATACAATAAGTACATACGTGTCGTTTGGATCCAGAGACCAAATAACCAACACACCGCGAGTGGCACTCTGGCAGAGGGCTCGACTTGGGCTGTTTTACGTATCGTACAAGAGGTTGGGATAGCCCCGACCTGTCGACACTCCGCACTCAACAGGTCTGCAAAAAAGTGTGGTGGTTGTACAGCGACATTTCGTCTGTTGCGGTTGTTGATTGACAGCGGAAGAGACGGCCTCGCTGCTCAGAGTACTGTGGTCTGTGGCCTGGTGAGAACCTGGCTCCAGTCAGAGCGTGGTGTTTCATGTGGATCAACGCCGTGAGTTCAGAAGCAATGGCCGTCTTCGGAGCTCTCGGCCGACTGGCTTGCACACAAGTCTTGCTTGTCATGCTTGAACAGGCCGATCACAAATCGAAGAGACAAAACGACGGCCCAGTCATCCTTGTACCTCGTATAACGACTGCGAATTTGCCTCGTGCATTCTAGCGTACGGCACTCGAGCGCTGTCGTACGCTGGCTGCTCCAGCTCCGGTTTTGCGACCGAAAAAGGGTCGTGAGCACCAGCACCAGCCGCTGCCATGGCCTGAAACCTCTGCTCCACTCTCAACCTCCTCTTGCGCTCCTTGAATATCAGGAACACCATTATGGCGACAAGTAGAGCACCAATA